GAGAGAGAGAGAGAGAGAGAGAGAGAGAGAGAGAGAGAGAGAGAGAGCCAGGGTTCTAGAATGTTAGAACTGGAAGGGCCCTTAGAGATAGACCCTCTAGTCCCATCCTCCCATTTTAAACATACAAAAAGACACAAAGACCCAGATGCAGAAAGTGAGAGAGACAAAGAGACAGAGACACAGAAAGTGGAAGAGGCCAAGAGAGAAATAAGACATAGACACTGAAAGTGAGAAACAAAGATCGAGCCAGGAAAAACAAAAAACAACAAAAAAAAGCAAAAACACGTAGACAAAAGCCGTGATGGGAACAGTGATCTATGGAGAAACAGAAAGGCAAAGCCAGAGAAAGACTAAGACACACAGAGAGAGGTCTAACCTACCTCACAAGGAAGGACGTGAGAAAAAAAAAGTGTACAGTATGGCTAAAAACCTCTAGTTAAATGTGCACTATTCTTGTGATTCTAGAGCTAGACAAAGGTAGACAGGGGAGAGGGAAAGAAAAATGGAGGGTGGAAGACACTGAATCAGACTGAGAATGCCAAAGCTAGCCTCTACCCGTACCTGAGAGTATCAGGAGCAGCACGCCCAGCCCTTCTTTGGAGATGGTGGGCAGCCCCAGCCCAGCCATGGTCAAGTTGATTCTGTCTTTGACCCAGGCCTTGACCTCCGCGGCTGTGGTTCCCTGGAGGGAAGTGCTACAGCTTGTTAGCCTGGATTCCCCTCCCCACTAGGCCTCTTCCTGCCATGCAAATCTGGACCCTAGGGACACACTGGCCCTCCTGTTATTTCTGGGGTAAAGAAGGTGGGGCCCAAAGGAGAGATTAACATGGGGAGTTGCAAACTCTATTGTCTGCTCCTTGCTGCTCAGGGGCAGTTGCTTGGAGCAGAACCAGAGGTATGCTAGAGTCAGGTTGAATTTGGTCAGGAGAGCCAATTGTTAAATTTTCAGTGTGAGCTTTGGAAATCAGCAAATGCTACAAATAAGGGTTTGGTTTATTGTTTTGTTGATGGTCTAGACTTGAGAAAGTGGTAGAGAAAATGTTAATGTAGATTAAACTTAAAAGTGTGTTGAATATGCTTTTTTTCCCTTTCTGGAGAGCTGATTGTTAAATATTTACCAGTATGCCTCTAGGAAGAACCTTTTTTTCCTTCCCATCTTTGATTACTGCCCCTAACCTTTATCAATAGTAGTGGAAAGAGCAATGGATTTGCTGTCAAAGAAGACCTGGGCTTGAGTTCCAGTTATTGGCTATGTGACCTTGAGAAAAATCACTTCTCGTTTGGTTTCAGTTTCTTCATCTATCAAAGGAGAGGACTGTATTAGCTGATTCTCAACATGTCTTCCATTTTCAATAATCTGTCGCTACCAATAGCTTCTTCAAGTGAAAATAAAAACAGCAAAGGAATGTGGAGAGCAGGCTGGAGTTAGTCATGGGGGGAAGGCATTTTGAACTGGGTTTTGGGATGTCTAAGAGAGAAGGCAAGGGCAACCCATTGGAAATGCTAGAGTGTGATGGAAAAGAGAAAGAAAGGTGTGAACTATGGCATGGTATGGGGGCAGAATGGGAACAGATTATCTTGAGTAGAAGCCGCCATGTTAGAGAATGAGGGGAGATAAGGAAAAAGGGGAGTGCAGTCAGCGGCATCAAATGGCCTACCCAGTGGATTGGATTCTAGAGTGAGAAATAGAGAGTTATTATAGGTTTTTGGGCAGGGAAGGACAGGGATGGAAATGGTATGAAGGAAGATAATTCTGTAGATCATTTAAACCTGATATTTGTTCCACATGTCTGAGGCTGCCTTTTTTGGATATTCAGGATAGTTTGCTGAGAGGGGGTGCATGTTAGGTGAAGGAGCACAATATCTTAAGAAAAACTTTTACTCACAAATCTGATTTTTAGCTAACAGATGAATTGGGCCGTTATTGTTTACTTGAGAAAGAGGTTCACCACAAGCCCTCTTTGAAGGTCAGACTCACCCAGGGCATCTTCCTGCTTGTTTACAAATGAGTGGTCTATTTGCCCAGGCAGGCTTGATAGAGGAGTCCTTGGACTTCTACTTCCTGACTGTCTTCTGCCATTTTGTTTCCCTTTCTGAGCAACAGGTCAGAAATGAGCAATCCTGAGAATGCACATTTTCAGCCTTGGGGATGACCTTGCAGATAATCTCGCTCTAAAGGGTTCTTCTGTTCTAAAATTTACAAGCAAAAGAGTTCTTGAGTTGAAGAATTGGATGCTGGCCTCTGATGGGAGAAGATTCCCTCAATCGTGTCTTGGAGAAGAAAGAGAATCCTCAATAAGATTCTCCTGAATTTGGAGGACTAAAGCCACCTTATGGAGGGACAAGAGGTCTGGACCTTGCCATAATATTGCTGTGAGTTACTTAGACTGTGCACCTTAGACAGGTGAAAAGTCAGTAGGGAATGTTTACTAAGTAGCTCCAAGCTGTCTTTATCTTGGGGGATAGGGTGGATGGGTGTAGAGGAGTCTAAAAAAATCAAATGGGTTATTTGAGTGCTTTATATTTCTGCCTTTGTTCATGGGTACCTGAGAATACTTTTTATATTATAGATTTTTTTCTGTGGTGGTTGAAATAAAGACTATCCTGTACTTGATATTCATACTGTAGATTAACTACCTATACAGAAATTGAGAATCCTCTTTCCCCCACACATGGGGGAAACCTAGATAAGCCAGGCCTAAATTTTATTCAGATTTTCCTGGGATTTTACTCAAGAATGAGGTCCTGAGCAAAAAAAAAAAAAAAAGAATAAAAAGATAGTGACCTTTTTTGGGGTCAGCCTTCAAGATTAAATCTAGTCCCTGTGAGCCAGGGCTTTTCCTTGGATTGGGGAGGAGTGAGAAAGTGCCCCTAGATGACTGACAAAGACAGAGACTTTGGGGAGGGAAAGGGAACAGCCAATGTTTGTATCCCCAGCTTAGCACAGTGCCTTGCAAATGGTAAATGCTTAATAAATGCTTTTTAATTTATCCATTTATTCATTCATTCATTTCATTTTTTTTTGTTTTTTTGTTTTTTTTTTTTTTTGGGTTTATTCATCTCTTAAGAACCTGCCATGTGCAAGAAACTCTGTTGAGTGCTGAGGCCTCTCAAAGAACTTAGGAACTGTTTGGAGGAAGGAGGGACAAGATATATACGAACATAGCTATGATACAAAAGAGAGCGAGATAAAAGTAAAGGAGGAGGCCTAGGGTCTTGCACTACTAAATTAATACTTTTGAACAAGTATAAAAGTGAGGCCTAGGCAAAGCACTGGAATCTATCTATCTATCTATCTATCCATTTTATTTATTTCTAAAATTCTTTTAAAAATTTTTTTGAGTTCCAATTTTTCTCCCTCCCCCACCCATTGAGAAAGCAAGCAGGCAAAGCACTATGGGAAATATAACGAGGGATAGATTATTTCAGAGGGAGGTAGGGATCAGGAAAATCTTTAAGAAAGACTCAATGTCTTGGGCCTTGAAGAAAGGGTCTTGGGACATCAAGAGACAGAAAAAGGGGACATATCAATTCTAAGCCCAGGGGATGGCATGAGCAAAAGGATGGAGAGGAGAAGCAGAGTAGTCCAGTTTGACTGAAACATGAAAAGGAGATAAGGATCACTAGGGGGTGCAGTGGATAGAGCTTGGGGCCTGGAGTCAAGAAGACCTGAGTTCAAATCTGACCTCAGACACTTACTAGCTGTGTGACCCTGGGCAAGTCACTTCACCCTGTTTGCCTGAGTTTCCTCATCTGTAAAATGAGCTGGAGAAGAAAATGGCAAACACTCCAGTATCTTTGCCAAGAAAACCCCAAATGGGGTCATGAACAGTCAGACATGGCTGAAAAATGGCTTGATAAAATGAAGGTAATCATACTTGTACTGGTCACCTCAGAAAGTCATTGCAAAGAAAGTCTTAGTAAACACTACTTTTTTTTCTGGGATAGGGACTTTTTTCATTGAGCTGAGTTGCTGCAATCAGATATCGGGGGAAAAATGGGACAACTCTAAAGAGAGATATGATTATCATGACATCAGGATTTTATATTTTTTAATTCTTAGTAGGACTATGGCAAATTTGAGATTCTGTATTCTGTATCTCTAATATTTAACTTTTTTGAATCTTGCTTTTTTTGCTTTTTTTGGAATTTTGATAAACTTGCTTTTTTGGAATCTTTTAATAAACTACCACTAGTCTGTTAATAAAGCTTTTTCAACAAAAAAGTTTAACTTTATTAGATTTTATTTCCTTGTTTGCAAAAGAAACTTTATTAAGAACAAAACTTTTAATTTTACATATGATGTGACCCCAAGGGTGGGGAACCTGCTGCCTGCTAAAAGGCCATATGATGCCTTTTAGGTCCTCGGGTGTGGCCTTTTGATTAAGTCCAAGTTTTACAGAACAAATCCTTTTATTAAGGGGATTTGTTCTGTGAAGTTAGGATTCTGTCAAAGGACCGTACTTGAGGACCTAGAGGGCCACATGTGGCCTCAAGGCTGCAGGTTCCCCACCCCTAGACTGGATCATCCTGAAAGTATTCTTAGAACTTTTTGTTTTTAATTCTTAGTAAGGTCCTCTTCTATGGGGGGGGGGGGGTGTTTCTCCAACCCTCTTAATTCTAGTGGCTGCCCTTTGTTGATTATTTCCTATTTATCCTCTATCTGTGTTGTTTGTACAAAGTCATGGGCATATCATCTCCTCCTTTTAGACTGTGAGCTCTTTGAGGTCAGGGACTGTCTTTACCTTTTTTTTTTTTTTTTTTAATTCCCAGTGTTTAGCACAGTGCCCTGCACAAAACAGGCACTTAATAAAATCTTATTGACCAATTGACTACTTAGAATTTAATATGACTACAACTACTTAAAAGTTCTTTTGAGTTCATGTGGCTATTTGGGCTTTTTGGGAATGAAGTTTGTGTTCCTTACCTAGAGTTCAGTTCAGGGCTTGGCACGTAGTAGACCTTGAATAAATATTTGTTGACTGACTGATTGATTTCTGATTCCAGGTGCATCACTATCTACCATTCTGCACTTCCTCTCTGAGAAGAGTGGGAAAGGAACAAGAGCTGGACCCTGGCTTATTTCTCTTTTGTCCTGGCCACATTGGCCTGAAGTCTTCTCTCATTCCCTTCATCCTCCTTCAAAGGACCATAATAATTTCTAAGAGGAAACAATATTGGGGATAACTGCAGTAGAATTATAGTAAAAACAACCCCCCACCCAAAAAAAAGAAACCAAGGCAAACATTTAAAATATGAAAAACCAAGAGGTGTATGGGGGAAGCTCAATGTTGAAGAAGTAGATTTTTTTTCCCAGTAGAGAAGGGAAATATGTTCCCCGAGACTTCATATAGGGGTTTGGAGTCTGGGGCCCAAGGCTCATACGGTGAGTTTGCAGTGACACAGACCCTTTGTCTACCTGCCTTTGAACTATGGGCTTTTATGGTAGTATGAAGTCAAATACACTTAGTCTTAAGCTAAAAAACATACAAACAAACAAAAAACAGTCCTAATGTTGAGGTTTAGGGGTGCTGGGACCCCAAAATTACAACATGTGGGTCCTGCCCAAAAGAATTCGACCCAAGCCTCCCATCCCCATCGTTCCTCCCTCAAATAAATGGGGCCCAAATTCTTTTTTTGGGGGGGGCAATTGGGGTTAAGTGACTTGCCAAGGGTCACACAGCTAGTAAGTGTCAAGTCTTTGGTCTCAGGCGAGATTTGAACTCAGGTCCTCCTGACTTTAGGGTCAGTGCTCTATCAACTTCGCCACCTAGCTGTCCAGTAAAACTTTTTTTTTTTTTGTTTGTGTTTTAGGCAATTGGGATTAAGTGACTTGTCCAGGGTCACATAGCTAGTAAGTGTCAAGTGTTTGATCTGAGGCAGCATTTGAACTCAGGTCCTCCTGACTTCAGGGCCAGTGCTTTATCCACTGCCCCACCTAGCTGCCCCCCAAATTCTTTTGGGGTAAGGGGCAAAGGTCTCAGCTTGGGCCCACACCCCATCACTAAGAGGAGATCTAAGCCCCAGGGACCAGGAAAAGCAATAAAAAAAAAAAAAAAAGACTTGCGAGGACACTAATTAGATGTGACCCTGTTTTGTGTCTAAATATTTTGGTATCAAGGTCAAGAACTCTGGACAGTGGGCCTCTGCTAACCAAGGCTCTCTACTCGAATTCAGGACTCCTCTTCCTTTTTCTCCTCTCTCCTCTTCTTCCCCTTGACCCCTCCCTACCTGTGAAACCTAGGGAATAACAACCATCGTCATTGTCACTATGGGTTCCAGGCTGTTCCAGATGTTCCTGGGTGTTTACAGATGTTCTTGGACAAAACAAAATAACATTTCCCCGTAAAGGTGTCAGCTGTTCAGCCCACGGAACAGCCTGGGGATTACAAACAAAATAGGATTGAGCTCAGTGACCTGGGGTCTTTTCAAGGACTCCTGGCTGGCCTGACGTGTTTGTGTGTGCGCACATGTGTGGGGATGGGGTGGGGTGGGGGAAGGAAGGGGATGCAGGGCAAAGCAGGACAGGACCAGGAGAGCAATAGTGCCCTGTACCTCTTTAACTCCAAGCCTGGGTGCCCTAACTACCCCACCGTGCCTTACTCTGGGGGGCTCTCTCATTTTATCACACATCCCCACTCCCCTAGGGGTGGGACCTAGCGGCTTCTTTCAGAGCTCAAAGGTGGGAGGGCAAGTGGAGAAGGTTTGGGATGTAATTGTGTTTTGGGTTTGGGTTGTTTGTGGTAATTGTTTGCTCAAGGGCAGTACAGTGATTGGGGTGTGTAGTGGGCCTGGGAAGGAGGGTGGGAAAGGGTCCTTGCAGACTCTATTTCCCTATCTTGTCAAAAGACAGGCCCTAGAAACCTCTGTTCCATGAGAACTCATCTCATCTTCCATCTCCTCCCCCTCCTCCTCCTGTCCTTCTCCCTCCCCCTCCCCCCCACACCGGGCCATGTGGAGATCCGTGGTCATAATGCAGATGTGCCCTTTTGTAGCTTCATTCCTATTCACACCAGGTTGATCGTTTCCTGGGCCCCAGAGGGGAGCTCTGGGGACAACTCTCCAGCCCAGCACTGCTTGGTTCTGGATACCGGGTTATTTATCACACAGGGGATCATGCTGTTCCCTCTGTGCTTTAACACAACAACATAGTACTCCACCCTCTCTGCCTCCCCACCCTGATGTCAGCCCTCCTTCCCTCTGCGGTGACTCTAGTATCACCTTTCCTTACACCCTGAGGGTGGGAGTAGAATCAGAGACCAAGCTAAAGATATTGAAGTTGGGGGATGAAGAAGAGAAGAGATGCTATCAGGAAGACAGCATCTAAATAGAATTTAGATATCAAAAGAATTTTAGAGAATGTCTAGTCCTATCCCCTCCTTTTTTCAGGCAATGAAACTAAGGTAGAGACAAGAGAAATAATTTGCCCAAGGTCACAGAGGCAGTAGGTAGCAAGCCTGATTTCCGGATTTATCAATCTTTTCATCAAATCCGGAAAAAAAAAAAAGGGTAAAATCCCACCCACCACTTGCAAATCAAATCAGGTTTCTTAGATTCTCTCTGGGACCTGCAGCTGGGAGGATGGATATGTGATTTGATATTTTAAATGGTCTATTTGGTCCCCAGGGGTCAGAATGTGCATTCCCTCTCAAGGGCTAAATGGGGTGGTCACAGGAGCCTGCAAGAAGTTGAAAGGCGGATCCCAGAGGGCAAGAGACTTTGTTGGGTCTTCTTTTCTCAGATCCTGTCTCCCCTTCCCATTCCCAGGGCTCTGGACCGAGAAAGTGCTCAGTTTACCTGGGAGATTGGATTTAAGACAGGAATTTACATGAGAGGGACCTCTGGACCTGAGGGGCCATACAGATCTGACAAAGGCAGGAGGAGTGCATTCAGTTCATCCAATTCATTCAGAATTCATCCAACAAATAAGTATTAGTGAATAATCACCATGCTGTAGGTCTGAAAGCAGGGGCTGTCCCACAGGGTAGTCTTTTTAAATTTAATTTAATTAATTTTAATTTAATTTAATGAGGCAGCTTGGTTCTGGGGCGGACTGTGTAGGACAGCACATGTGAATAATAACTGGCTTTTATACTGTATAATTATATTACTTATAATGTATAATGATATAGCCCCTTAAAGTTTTCAAAATGCTTTTCTGCATGTTAACTTATTTTAGCGTGGAGAGCACACTTGGAAGCAGTGTTGGGTCTTAGAGTCAGAGAGTTTGGGTTCAAATCCCAGCTTTGCTACTTAACTTGGGCAAGTTAATGATCTCTCAGAGCATCAGATTCCTCACTTGTAAAATGGGAGGGTTGAATTAAATAACCTTTAAGTTCTAAATTTATTATCATAAGATTCAAACAGCCTCATAAAGAACCCTGTGAAGTAGGTCCTGTATGCAGATATATCCCCATTTTATAGCTGAGGAAACTGACAGTTGTAAAAGTTAAGTGATTTGTCCAGGGTCACACAGCTAGCATGCATCAGAAGCAGGATTTAAACTCATTTTTCTCCCCGGTGTTTAGTCCAGGTTTTGAGTAAGTGTTTGTTGATTGGTTTCTGATTCCAGGTGTAACACTGTAACATAGTGTTACTTAGTATAAGTGTGTGTGTGTGTGTGTGTGTGTGTGTGTGTTTGGCAAGGCAATTGGGATTAAGTGACTTGCCCAGGATCACACAGCTAGTGTCTGGTCTGAGACTGGATTTGAACTCAGGTCCTCCTAACTCCAGGGCCTGTGCTCCATCCACTGTGCCACCTAGCTGCCCCTATACTACCTTTCTTAGAAGAGTTGGCAAAGGAGTAGAGGTTGGATCCTGGACTATGTCACTTCTGGCCTGGCCACATGGCCTGAGGAGGGCCTAAAGTCTCTCCCTTTTTCCCTCTATCCTCTTTTATCTTTGTTGTGGGTGTTGTTCAGTCATGTTCAACTCTTTGTGACTCTTTTTGAGGTTTTTTTGGCAGAGATACTGGAGTGGTTTGCCATTTCCTTCTCCAGCTCATTTTACAGATGAGAAATTGAGGCAAACAGGGCTAAGTGACTTGCCCAGGGTCACACAGCTAGTAAGTGGCTGAGGCCAGGTTTGAACTCTCAAAGATGAGTCTTCCTGGCTCTAGACCCAGCACTGTATTCACTGTGCCACCTGGCTGCCCTCTTTTATCTTTATCCTGCTCCCACTTAGTTATTGTAAGGAAAAGAACACTGGCTTTGGAATCAAAAGACCTAGGTCCAAATCTCCCCTTTGCTACTTAGTTGTGTGAGCTGGAAAAAATCACTTCCTATCCCTGGGTGTTAGTTGAATTTGCAAAATAAGAAGGTTAGACTGGATGATGTCCAAAGTCTAAAGTCCAAAGCTCTAAATTAATCATCTTATTCCCATCATCCCTCCCTCTCATATACACTGCCCCCCATTTCCACAATCTCTCCTTTCCCTTGTCCAACTCAGACAACAGGACTGGTTTGGGTTGATGTTTATTGTAAGAAATATACAAAGGAAACAGGCTTCTCCTTACTTGGCTCAGAGCAGCTGCATCACCCCCACCCAGCTCATAGGGCCCATTCAAGGCAGTTCCCGCCCTAGGGACACTCCTGTTCCCAATGGTCAACAATCCTGCTTTGCCCAATGTATGTGTGGCGGGGGTGTGGTGGGGCAGGGGAGGGAAAGGAGAGTCTGAACTTCAGAGGGGTTGAGAGGAGAGGGCTAGGCCCAGAATTGGGGGAAAGGTTAGGATTCCAACCCCTTTCACGACACATACACAGAGAATCAATCTTAGCCACACAGACAGAAGGCTTCCAGTCTAAGAATTTTCTGTCACTTCAAGAGAAATTTTCAAGCCCTAGGGCCCAGGGAAGGAGAGTAGGGCTGGCCAGGATGGTGGACAGAGAGAAGCCCTACTATTTGAATGAACACAGTGAAAAAATAGATGAGACAGAGACAGATGGAAAGAGGCAAAGGGGAGAATCAGACACAGGCACAGAAAAACAGAAGGGAAAGAGACAGAAAAATATGCAAAGGATTGAAGAGAAACACAAAAAGTAGAGAGTAGGAGAGATAAGGGAGACACACAGTCATAGAGACCTGTTATGGAGTGGCAAAGAGATGCCTAGAGATGCTGAGAGATCCAGAGATGGAGAGATGGAGAGAGACCCAATGCCAGAGAGGTGAGCAATGAGTGTTCATGCTTATCCACACACACACACACACACACACACACACACACACACACACACACACTGCTCTTGTTTTGAAGGTTTTACGGTTTCCTGAACTTTAGTCAAATTGTTCACGAGAAATGAGAAGAAGAAGAGGAACTTGGGACAATCTAGTTCTCAAACTGACAAACATGAGGCCCAGCCACCAGACAAACATATCATGTATGTGCCCACACATACATGCATACATATATAAACACACATACACACAGAGGGAAGTATGTCTGAAACAAATCATTCCCTGAGCAGCCTCTCAGATTCCCTCTCTGGCTTTGGAACCTTCTCCCTGATCTCTTGGGGGGGTAACCAGGGCAGAGCTCTAGTGACTATCTCCAGATCAGCCGGGATGACAGTTGAGGTGCCTTTTGCCTCAAGCTTGCAGGTTGTCAAGGGTATGGCTCCTAGCACTTGGGACCAGAATACTTGAATCCCTTTAGGGGCTTTTAAGGTACTACTCACTAGGCCTTCACTGTCCTCATTTATAGAAATGGGATTAATCATTTCTATTCCTAGGATCTCTTGCCCTTAGGGAAATGGTAGAATGAAAGAGGTGGGGTAGTGGGTGGAGAGGGTGTAAGAGAGAGACAATCTCTAGGTCTTGAAGGAGAAAAGAGAATGTAGTTTTCTAGAGTGGGGTGGGCTTTAGCCTGCTCTTCTAATACCCACCCCCAAATCCCTTCCCCCAATAACAGAAACTCCTTCCTCGTCCTACACAGTCTGGACAACCCCAGCAAAGAACTTTACACTTTAGCCATGTTTATGTTATCTGCACAGCTGGCACATAACACAGTTGCAGATCTTGACGCCTGGTCAACCATATTTCATAGAAAAATAAAATTCCAAAATCATATCCTTATTTATATCTGCTCCCAAGGGGATATGGCCAATTTGGAGAGGGACCAGGAAGACAAGTCTCAGCAGGATCACCAAATGGAAGTCCCTGTGATCCACCTCCTCCTAACTGATGACTTGGTGGTCCAAATGTCAGAGTTGTTTGTGAGGCTGTGTCAGTACCAATAAGATTTCTGATGAATCATCTTTCCAGGGAGTTCTGTAGCTGGTGGGGGGTGCTGGCCAGGTTTAGAAGATGCTTGGAGCTGGCATGGGCCCCAGAGATGGTGCTCCCCATGGACTCGACTTTTAAGACATCATTCTCTTCTGAGAGGGGTGGGTGGCTGAATTCCTCTGGGGAAAGGGGGCTAGGCAGCCCTTAAGACACTGGAGATGTGAGCTCAGCTGATTGGTTGTGAGGGCTGAGTATGGCTTGTGGGGGCTTTAGGTTGTATGTGACTGGCCATGGAGTGAATGCCTGAAGAAAGCAATCAGGTCCTAAAGCCCCTGGGCAGAGAGGAGATATATGGCAGCCCCCAGGAGGGAGAGATAGAAGAGCCTCAATGACTAATAGGAGAAACTGAGGAGAGACAGATGGACAGACAGACACTCAAGTTCCTCACCCCAACTCTTGAGGCTTTTATGGTTCTTTCAGCCAGCAGTAGACAATTCACATTTCACATGGACTGTGCAAGATTGGGAGAAAGGTCTCTGGATTCTAGGGTGAGCCCCCGAATGGCCAAATCTTTCCCACCAAGATGGATTTGGGCAACACCCCGTCTCAAAGCATGCCTCCATCACACAACTAAAACCTATAGGCTGGAGTACAGGGTTCAACAGGGGAGCCCACCTGGGGCAGAGCCCACTGAAGGAAATATCTATCCCCATCTTATTAGACAAGTGACTCCTTGACTCCTGGGCGTACTCGGTGCCCCTGTGGCTCTGGGGATGACTGGCTTGAGTCTGGAGCATCAATGGGCTTGAGACCCAGGGCAGGGCCAGCCTCCCCTGTTGCTTTATCCTCTTCTTTCTGGGAGCTGTTGTTCCCATACATCTTGTTCATGGTATCTGCAATCAGCCCCTCCTTCTCTGGGGCCTCAAACCCACTACTGTCTCCACTATGCCGGTAGAGATAAGAGGCCTGCTTCACTGAACGCCTCAGTAGATGCCGGCGGTAGGCTCTCTGGATCTTCATAGCACATACCTCCTCGTGCTTCCTCTTCAGTGTAGTGGTGATAGGTTCATAGGAGACCTTGGAGGGGTTGGCCGCCATGAATTTTTCCTCCATGGTCTGCTTGAGGGCATCCATCTCACCGGAGTCCCCTAGAACCTCTTTAGTTAGAGCAAAGAGTATGTCTAGGCAGTGAATCTTGTCTCCAGGGACCATAGGAAGATCTAGAGTGATGAGTTTGATCTTGTTGGGTTTGGCAATCCTCAGCGGCTCCTGTAGAGTGTCCACAAAGTCAGAGAGGCGACTGTAGTCAATGAACTGTGTGGCATCTGGGTCAAACTTCTCCCATGTCTCATAGAACATCTCAAAGTCATCCTCCCCCAATGGCTCACTGCTCTCCTCAGTAGCCACGTTGAAGTTCTCCAGAATGATGGCGATGTACATGTTTACAACAATGAGGAAGGAGATGATGATGTAGCTGCAGAAGAAGCAGATGCCTATGGAAGGGTTGCCACAATCACCCTTAACACTGCTGCCAGGGTTCTCCAGATCGGGGTCACAGTCAGGGGGCCCACTGTTAAGGATGGGGTTCAGAAGCCCATCCCAGCCAGCTGAGGTAGTGATCTGGAAAAGGCAAATGATGCTGTTGCCAAAGGTCTCAAAGTTGAAAATGTCATCAATGCCAGATTCTTTCTTCACATAGGCAAAGTTGGACATGCCAAAGATGGAATAGATAAACATGACGAGGAAGAGAAGTAGGCCAATGTTGAAGAGGGCAGGCAGAGACATCATGAGGGCAAAGAGCAAGGTCCGGATACCCTTGGCACCTCGAATCAGCCTCAGGACGCGCCCTATCCGAGCCAGACGAATCACTCGGAACAGTGTGGGTGAAACAAAGTATTTCTGGATCAAGTCAGAAAGGGCAAGGCCTATGAGAGAGAGAGAGAGAGAGAGAGAGAGAGAGAGAGAGAGAGAGAGAAAGACAAGAAAGAAAAAGAGAGAGAGAAGAAAGAGGAGCAAAAGGAGAGAGAGAAGCAAGAAGAGA